CCAACTTGTTTCTGCAGGTAATAGTATACGGTGACGGTACAGGTACTCTAACTCAGTTGTTTCTGCAGGTAATAGTATACGGTGACGGTACAGGTACTTTATCCAACTTGTTTCTGCAGGTAATAGTATACGGTGACAGTACAGGTACTCTAACTCAGTTGTTTCTGCAGGTAATAGTATACGGTGACGGTACAGGTACTTTAACTCAGTTGTTTCTGCAGAGGATGAATTTTACTGAAGTTCTCAGAAAATGGTCTGATGGACGTCTACAACCCATTAACTTATTCAAGATGGCCGCCACAGCTGATCAACCTTGGCCAATGCAGTAATTATCATAACTCCCCATCCAAAAAAGTTCAATCTGGTCCTCTGGACATTCAAAAAAACAAAAAACAAAACAAAGCAAAAAAATCTAGAAACGTTTCGTCTCTCATCCAAGAGACTTCCTCAGTCTGAGGTGCTGTATTCAGCTCAGTCTCTTAAATAGCACCTTCACATTCACAGAGTGGATTTATTATTGAGCATGCATCAGGATATAACTCCCCATGTTTACAGATACCGAGCTGAAACTTCCTGAGGTAGTAGCCGAGACTTGTTCCTAACTCGTACGCTGACCACCCAACAAATTTGTTTACGTCTTTGGTTTGCTGCGCGGCGGGCGACAGGCATTCGCCTCGTGTGCTGTAACGTTTAAACCGTCTGTTTTCTCTCCGCAGGTCGCAGCTGACGGCGGCTCTTCGGTTCATATATCCAGGTTAGAGGTGAGGCGTTCGCTCGTAGGGAACAACGGGGCGTTTAAATACCAGCGTGGTGTTGTAATTGTCTGTGTTGTTGCGTTTAAGGGCGTTCAGGACGCCCTCCAGAGGACGCTAACCTCCGCGCTGCAGCAGTCGCCTCACCGGAGAGTAGCCCTCGTCACCTTCAACGACGAAGTGAGTCCATGGTGATGATGTCACGCTGCCATTTCCTGTTTTTACAGTCCAACTACTCCCACAGACTTTGTGCTATTTTAGCCGTTTTTATATCAAAACGACTCAAACAGCTTTTAGATTTTAAAACATTTAAACTTCAAATATTTAACTTTATTTACAAATATTTACGCCCATTTGGAGATTCCTTCAAAGCTTCTGTTGTTTTAAAAATCTGCTTCAGGGTACTAGCTCTACTTTCAGTTTTGAGCTACAGTCCTGTTCCTTTTAGCTAGCATTTAGCTCCTTTTAGCTTTTAGCTAGTTCTCTTTTCCTTTAGCAAGCATTTTGCCACATGTAGGAAAAGGCTAGTGTTTTTGCTATTTTCAACTTTGTCAGTTTTTTTTAGCTTATGATTTGCTACTTTTAGCTTGTGACTATTGTTACTTGTAGCTAACATTTTAGCTTATTGTAGCTTTGAGTTAGTGTTTTGCTCCTTTTAGCTCTTAGCTAGTGTTCAGCTATTTTAGGTCAGCACTGTTGCTTCTTTTAGCTTCTAGCTACTGTTCCACTCCTCTTACAAAACGTTTTACTCCTTATAACTCTTAGCTAGTAGTCCGTGACTTTTAGCTAGCATTTTGGTCTTATTACCTTTTAGCTAGTGTTCTGCTACTCCTACCTAGCATTTTGTTCTTTTTAACTTTTAGCTAGTTTTACTCCTTTTAGCTTTTAGCTAATGTTCTTGCTCTTTTAGCTCATGTTTTGGTTCTTTTAACTTGTGTTTTGCTACTACTAGCTAGCAATTTACTTATTTTAGCTTTTAGCTGCTGTTACCTTGCTTTTTACTTCTTTTCATTTTTACCTAACAGTCTGTGGCCTTTACATAACATTTAGCTGTTTTTAACATTCAGCCAATGGTTTGCTTCGTTTAGCTAAAACAATACAGTTTTAGCTTCTTCAGAAAACTTCAGCTGTCATTCAGCCCTCAGCTTTCACACTGCAGTTTAGCTGAAAATGCAGATTTTTCACACAACATTGGATGACTCCAATGTGTTTTAAACTTCAGACATATAAATGTTGTACAGGTGCGTCTCCAAAAATTAGAATATCGTGAAAAAGTTCCATATTGGAAACTCGTGCACACTGTGCACAGCCGAATCCTGGACATGAGCTACAAATGTCCCATTGCTCGAGTCCAGACACTCCTGAACCAGAGACAACGTCAGAAGCATCGCTGAACTTTTTCACAATATTCAATTTTTTTAGATGTACATGTATCTGTATGATGTTTTGTCTTGGCCTGCTGTTTCTGCAGGTAGTAGTACACAGTGATGGTACAGGTACTCTAACTCAGTTGTTTCTGCAGGTAATAGTATACGGTGACAGTACAGGTACTCTAACTCAGTTGTTTCTGCAGGTAATAGTATACGGTGACAGTACAGGTACTCTAACTCCGTTGTTTCTGCAGGTAATAGTATACGGTGACGGTACAGGTACTTTATCCAACTTGTTTCTGCAGGTAGTAGTATACGGTGACAGTACAGGTACTTTAACTCAGTTGTTTCTGCAGGTAGTAGTACACAGTGACGGTACAGGTACTTTAACTCAGTTGTTTCTGCAGGTAGTAGTACACAGTGACGGTACAGGTACTCTATCTCAGTTGTTTCTGCAGGTAGTAGTACACAGTGACGGTACAGGTACTCTAACTCAGTTGTTTCTGCAGGTAATAGTATACGTGACAGTACAGGTACTTTATCCAACTTGTTTCTGCAGGTAGTAGTATACGGTGACAGTACAGGTACTCTTAACTCAGTTGTTTCTGCAGGTAATAGTATACGGTGACGGTACAGGTACTTTATCCAACTTGTTTCTGCAGGTAATAGTATAGGGTGACGGTACAGGTACTTTATCCAACTTGTTTCTGCAGGTAATAGTATACGGTGACGGTACAGGTACTTTATCCAACTTGTTTCTGCAGGTAGTAGTACACGGTGACAGTACAGATACTCTAACTCAGTTGTTTCTGCAGGTAATAGTATACGGTGACGGTACAGGTACTTTATCCAACTTGTTTCTGCAGGTAATAGTATACGGTGACGGTACAGGTACTTTATCCAACTTGTTTCTGCAGGTAATAGTATACGGTGACGTTACAGGTACTTTATCCAACTTGTTTCTGCAGGTAGTAGTACACGGTGACAGTACAGATACTCTAACTCAGTTGTTTCTGCAGATAATAGTATACAGTGACGGTACAGATACTTTATCCAACTTGTTTCTGCAGGTAAAAGTATACGGTGACAGTACAGGTACTCTAAATCTTTTGTTTCTGCAGGTAGTAGTATACAGTGACGGTACACGTACTCTAACTCTTGTTATTGCAAGTTTAGTAGTATACAGTGATAGTACAAGTACTTTAACTTGTTGTTGCAGGTAGTAGTATACGGTGACGGTACAGGTACTCCTCTCACGCTCAGGGAGTGGGCGCTGCTCGACTACGATCACATCTGGCAACAAGCCGTTTCTTACAGCGTCCCTCACTGCATCGTAGAGACGCACCAGCAACTCCTCCAAAGAGTCAAAGAGTGAGTTTTACGTTTTCAGATACTTTATACTGATTTTGTTCATGATGCAAATGGTATTTAAACTTTTAAGTTCAAATTACTAACAGTGTGAAGCTTTATTTTTTTCATAAACTTTCTAACGACGATCTTTTTTCTGTCCTTCCAGGCTCAGGGAACATGGAGCGACAGCTCTCGGTCCAGCAGTGTTAGCCTCTGTTGCCATGGCATCCAAGTACCCGGGGTCAAAGGTGAATGAAGACAGCAGGAATTTAACCGTTACTGTTTTCTTTCTTGTTGAGGATTTGATGAAGAAGTTCCATCCATCCATTTTCTTCTGCTTATTC